ACAGAACTACACATACACACAGACATACACATAAAAAATTGGATGTTCATATAGAAAACTAATTTGTGTATGTAATTTTATCTCTCTCTTATCTTCTTGACATTTTCCACATCTTTTATCTTTTTCTATAAACCTGCTTTATCACAGACTAAAAGCTATAATTTAAAGTTTCCTTCCAATAATGTTTATTTCTCTTGTAGCTCCTGATGTTTTACTATTTGGTGCATAGGAAGTCATAACTATTACATATTTATTGTAAATTGTATCCTATAACATTATAAAGCTTTTGCATTTAACATTTTTTGACTGAATTTCCATTCTGACTGAAATTCAGCATGTTTGTTTGCTTGTTTGTTTATATTTACCTGTTATTTATTTAACCACCATTTTATTTTCAATCTTTCTGAATCACCTGATTGTAGATGGGTTTCTTGTATGCCACATGGAGTTGTATTCTGCTCTTTGATCCAGCCTGACTCGTGTTCTTTTAATGAAGAAGTTAGAACATTTACCTTTTTTAAATAGACAGATAAAATTGTGTGTATTTATCACATACAGCGTGATGTTTTGAAGTACATTTACAATGTAGAATGACTAAATCTAGCTAGTTAACAAATACATTGCCTCACATGGGTGTCATTTAATACACAGCCCCCCCTTATTCTCAGGGGATATATTCTAAGACTCCAGTAGATACCTGAAATCACAGATAGTACCAAACCTTATTTGCCATCAACTGGAATACGATTTTCTCTGTTCATGTCTTCCACATGCTATTCTGTGAAATTGTGAGTCCCCTACCTAAATTTTCCTGTCAAATTTCCTTATTAGCTTACAATGAGCCCTCTGTCCATGGCCCTTTCATTTTAGTCATGGTTCTCCAGAGAGAAAAAATCAACTGGATTTGATAGCTCAGAGATATAAATATGGATTAGACAGACAGATAGATAGATAGGAGGGGATTTATTACGAAAAATGACTCAAATGATTATGGAGGCTGAAAATTTCTATGACAAGCTGTCTGCAAACTGGAGATTATGAGACGCCAGCAGTATGCATCAGTCCAAGTGTGAAAATCTCAGAACCACGGGAGCCAATGGGGTAACTCTCAGTCCAAACCCAAAGACCCGAGAATCCAGGGACCACTGAAGAGCCTGGAGTTCTGATGTCCAAGGACTGGAGAACAGTTTCCCAGCTCCAAGAGAGAGAGGAAACCCTTTTCTCTGCATTTTCTGTTCTATCTGGGCCCCCGGCCGATTAGATAATGCCCACTCACATTGAGGGCAGGTTTCCCCCACTCAGTCCACTGACTCACATGCCAACCTCCTCTGGAAACACCCTTACGCTCACACACCCAGCAGTTCCCTAGGAGTTCCTTTATTCAGTCAAGTTAACACCTAAAATTAACAAGAAGAGCCCTATTTGAGTTGCACTTCGTGTTCTCTCAGACAGTCTATTCTTCGCATGGTTTCCAATAACCCACTACCAGAGCAAGAGGGGTCATTTCAAATCATAAGAAAATGAGAGCTTCAATTACCAGAAGTCCTTGTGCTAAAAGTGCAGAGACAGCTCTAATGTGGGAGATTTGGCACTATTAATCACTCACTCCCGCTTTCCTGCGGGTCTGATTAGTGAGAATGAGTGGAGCCAAAAGAGGATGAAAATACCATTGCATCTTTATTCATAGCCATGCTGAAGAGGCAAAGATGTCAGGACTCACACCTCCCTCTCAGAACCCGGACTCTAACTTAACCCAGTAGGAGACAGGAGTAGAGGTCGGGATTGAAATAGCTCAGATCTGGATTGTCCTCACCATGAGCTTGCCTTATGTTAGTACCAATGGTTTGGTGATGAAGACACTGGGCACATTTCCATCAATGACCAACTTGTCAGTCTCTTTCAATCTTACCTGTCCAATTAATCTAACCTTCTCTCATGGAGTGGACCAAGTAAGAAAGCAAAAATACGGATAGAGTGTATTCACTTCTGAATTGTTTCCTTCTGGCAAGTGGTATTCTATCCTTTGGTGGATACTGCTAGTTGTCTACACAATAGCCATGTTAGCACCTTCTTCCTTAGCAACAAAATTCTACTTTTTAAGGATGATAATGTTATCAAGTGAAATGCTAAGTTTCTCAGCCTCCTTTGCAGGCAGGGATGGCTAATAACTTTTCAGTAGCAGTCATACATTAAATAGGTGAAGTACGCATTTGCTTATGCTCACCCCTGTGTCTTCCTGCTGCTTGAAATATGGACAAAATCTTAAGAGCTCTAGTGGCCATCTGGAATTCATGATGCATTATTGAGAATGAAATCTCTAGCTAGACAGAAGAGAAAAAAGGTAGAGACTGAGTGCTTGATGACTCAGCACTGTCAAATCAGTCCTGGACTGCCCACCTCTGGATGCCGTTTATGTTGGAGGACAATAAACACTTACATGTTTCAGTCACTGCAATCGGACTTTTGTTACCAGCAGCTGAAGTAGTTTGTAAATGATACATTTCTGCTGTGGAAGTGTGAGGGGAGAAAGGGTGCTATGCATCCAAGCTGAGAGTTAACACTGAGTCAGCCACGGACATCCTCTCATCTGCCTCACGAGCGCAGGGAAACGACCTCCTTTTCCTTCCAAAGATCCACTGGAAGTTCTCCTTGTACTCTCGCTCTTCCTGCTTGGAGGGTCACTTACCTGTCTTCTCCCACATGGTTAGAAATGTGAGAGACAACAGTTTACTCCTCCTGATACTCCAAAACTATGTCATCACTTAATCGTTACATAATTCTGTTTGAACATCAATGTTAGTAATACTTGCGTGTTTCCAATTTACAACTGATTACAGATTCTGACTGTAGCTAAGGGTCAAAGTTATAGATTTGAAAGTCACCATCAAGTGCATGGTTGTTGAAGTCACCTGAGTCAGAGAGATACCTCAGGAAGAGCCCAGAAGAGAAGGACACCAAGAACTGAACCTAGAAGAATCTCAACCTTAAGAATGCTTCCTAAAGAGAAAAAAGTAGTCTTGCTAGAAATTAAAACGTCATGATGTGAGGAGATGAGAGAGTTGTGGTCTTGTGACAGAAGGACTCACTTTAGGACAGATCTGACACTCAGTTTCAAATTATGTCTCTGTTACTGGAATGCAACAGCCCTCAACCCTGCTTCTATTTGTTTAACACTGTGAGAACAAACAATTCCTTAATGTCAGCCCAAAACAATATGCAAGATGATCCATCCTTGGTTTGAGACAGAAGTGCAGACCTTCTGAACTTATTTAATGTTGTATTTTCTGTGGGAGCAATAGATGCTCTTATTTGACTGTTAACAAGAGCCAAGAAAAGTCACTCTGAGTTTTTATCATGTCAGATCCTCAGTCACAAAGGAACTTCTTTCCAAAAGATCCAAGCCAGTGTCTGATTAAGTCAAACATACCTTCACGGCTACTCACCCCAGTGCCAATATGGAGTGAATGCAGGGAAAGTTATTCTTGGACTTTAATGCATTGATTACATAATTGTTCCTTTCCATTCATATCCTATGCCCTGACTTAGTTCTTGTTCCCACTCATTTATACCAATGGTAATTGGGTTTTTTTTCTTTTTCCATATCAAAGTAGATTTACTTTTATCCTTCCTTATTCTTGATTCTTTTCTAATATCCCAAGACCCCCATGGACCTAGACACAGACGGTCCACTGGAGGGTGGGATTCAGCAAGGCCCAGAGGACTGACCAGCAGTGGTTGAGTAAGGTATTAAATCAATTCCAATAAATGAATTAATGTTTAAGATATCTCAAATAGTGCACAAACACATAGTGCAAGCTCAGTAACTGTTAATTGTCATAATTATCGTAATCAAGGCATAACCCAGGTATCAAAGTTTTTTTCCTCCAAAGATCTTCTTCCTCTAACAGACTTGGAGAAGATAGAGTTTGTCTCACGTCTCCTGTTGGTCAGCTCTGTGCTGCGAGTGCTTCTCTGCCCTGCTCTCAGCTGTCCCTCAGAATGTCTCCTGGCCACAAGCTGGAGCACCAAGCTCTTCATTGTAGAACAGCAGAACCTTTAGCAGAGTAATTCAGAGTGGTTTTCTGCACTCAAAATCCAGATCCCTTCCAGACTCCCTAAGAGTGGGAAGTGTAATATGACTTCTCTTTCTTTCCGATTCTGTATTGATTAATTGTAATACACACACACACACACACACACACACACACATTGTCAGAACTGTAAAAATCTAAATCCACTTTAAAGAATAAGCAATCTTCCTAAAATCCAATAGTGTGCTCAGTATCTCCAGAGCAAGACAGAGGCCACATTTTACAGATCATGCAAATCTGTGGAGTTCTTTGTTTTTTCTTCAACCTGAGTCTCCAGAGCTGAAGAAATTGGGTCAATTACACAGGATCACTTACCCCTGATTACCATTCCAAGGCCCAGAAGTTTTAAAACTTTGAAATAAAAGATTTGGATTTGATTTATCCTTACACAGCAGAGCACAGAAAATTCTTGCATGAGGGCTTCTCTTATGTACATACATGTATATGAAAAGGAGGATTTATGATCTTCCTGACCAACCAACCTCCTGAAGGGCTGGAAGATTATATTAGCATTGGCAACAAGGTATCTACCTTTGATCTTTAATAAGTCTGCTCATGTAACTAAAGAGAAAATGTTCCTCAACCTTTATACCATCACCTGCCCCTTGTTCCAGCCAGAAACACTCTTGCTCAGAAAAACTCATTTAGCCTACCAAGAAAAGAATGGAAGGCACGGAGCCTCATCTTACTCATCTCTTGGGCCTAATACAGAGTTCAGTAAACAAAAGGCATTTCTTAGGTGCTAACTCGCATGCAATGAGCCAATTTAAGTGTTGCAAAATAGTATAATCCTCAAGGAGAGTATAGAAAAGAGATTTCCAATTTTTAAAAGTGGAGAGAAGACTCTCTGAGGAGAAAGATTAAAATTCCACCTATAGATAGAAAGACACTTGAGTATCATGCTTACCGAAAACCAGTTGCCAGTGATACAGAGAGACCCATTAGAAGCGCACTCTCTTCAGGGTTTTACCCAGGGCAAGTTTAACATCCTTATTCCTCAAACTGTAGATCAAAGGGTTAAGCATGGGAACCACATTGGTATAAAAGACTGAGGCAAATCTGCCATGGTTCACAGAGCTGGGAAAAGATGCTGTGAAGTAGGTGAATGCCCCTGACCCAAAAAACAGAGCAACAGCAATTATATGGGAGCTACATGTGCTAAAGGCTTTGGATCTGCCCTCTGCAGAAGGAATATGGAGGATGTTGGAGAGTATCAACGTGTAAGAGATGATGATGCTTAAGCTGGATAGCGTGATGATTACTCCAACAACAATGAAAAATACCAGCTCATTGATATGTGTGCTGGTGCAGGAGAGCTGCAAGAGAGGGAGAACTTCACACAGATAATGGTCAATGATGTTGGAATCACAGAAGCTCAATCTCAGCATGCTTCCAGTGTGGACCATGGCCCCAGCAAACCCTACCACATAGGAACCAAACATCAGCAGAAAGCAGACCCTTGGGGACATGGAGACCATGTATAGCAGAGGGTTGCAGATGGCCATATAGCGATCATAGGCCATTGATACCAACACATAGCACTCAGAATTGACGAAGAAACAGAAGAAAAATAGCTGAGTCATGCATCCCACATAAGAGATGATACTTTCTGACACAAAGTCATTCAGCATTTTGGGGGTAAACACACAGGAATAACAGAGATCTATAAAGGACAAATTGAAGAGGAAAAAGTACATGGGGGTGTGAAGGCTCAGATTTATCCCAATTAGGGTGATCAAGCCCAAGTTGCCCACCACAGTGAGCACATAGATCCCTAAGAACAGAAGGAAAAGAGGGAGCTGGAGCTCCGGCTGTTCTGATAATCCCACAAGGATAAACTCAGTCACTGAGGAGCTGTTTCTCAGAGTCATTCTCTCCTGGCGAGTTGTCTGGGGAAACAGAGGGCAAAACACAGAGTCATGACAGGCACAAGCATGGCTAAGGGAGGGAGGCTCTAGCAGACCAGCCAGTGTGCAGATGCCCTCTCTTCCGTCCTCCCTCATCTACACACCTGCCCACCCTGAGGTATGGACGTGTCTGTGAGAGGATTTCAGCTCTGCTGGGCCAATCATGAATTCAAGCTAGCATCTCTTACCAAGAATTCTGTCTCTGCTTGAGAGATGAGGAGGGAGAGAACACATCTGAATTGGCTGCCCAGGGACTCTCAGAAAGACACCCTGAGAACTAAGAGTACAACCTGGGCCGCTGCCTCAGGTGCTGAGAGACCAGAGCTCTCAAGGTCCCCAGGACGCCCTCCCATTCTCTGCCTCCATCTCCCAACTAGATAGTGGATTTCCATTTGGAGAGAAAGCCAGTAGTTTTCCCTACTGGCTCTGCACATCCCCCGACCCGCCGCCTCCTCAAAGATCCTCCACTCCATCTCAACAGTGTCAGTGTTGAGAGCAGAGACAGGATCCGTGCTTCCCAGAGCCCTCGGTTGCGAGTTTCAAAGAGACCATCAGGAAAGACGGGATTCAGACCTTCACTTTCCTTTTCCTGGGCCCCACTCAGTGCTGGGCCTCACGCCGTCTCCTTTTCCATTAGCCAGAAAGAGAAAATGGTGCTGCTTGTGGAGAAAGCACACAACCTTGCCTATTACCTCTTTTGACTCCCTCGGTGCTGAGAATCAGAGCTTTTACAGACCCCAGGCTTCAAGGTGCTCAAGGAATAGACCACGGTTTCTGTTTGTGGATTTTCCCAGATGGTCTCAGCAACTTCAGGAAAGAAAACTAGGGACTCTCATTTTGACCAGAACCCCAGCTGTCATATCGCAGAGGAATTTAAGCTGTTTGATGATCTCAGGGACCTGATTAGACACAGTTTCCCCTGGGAATTTCTCCAAGATCTGTCTCTATAGGGAAGGAATTGCACTTTGTTTACAGCCTGGATAACAGTGCTTATCTAGCATCTTGGGAGTGGGGGGTCCACTCAAACTTTCCCTCTACTCCAGGGATTTCATGTTACTCAGTGCTGAGTTTAGGAACTCATTTTTTCCTTTCTTATTAACTCTCAGAGCCTAAGCTTGAATTTAAGGATGAATAACCCCAACCTTAGCTACCATCTCCAAATCTTCACAGGGAGCTATGAGAGTAGGACCCCTCAAAAAAGGTCAGATCAGATCCACAGAGAGCACCTCAGACAAAAGGCTTCTTGGACCATGTGCTGCTCAGAACAGAAATCACACCACCTCCACCACAAACACCACCTACTTGCAGCTCTAATAAGGGCCACAGACAGGCCTTTACTATATATGAAGAGATTAAAATATCACAACACATATGCAAGAAAGCGCACACACACACACACACACACACACACACACACACACACACACCCCTACACAGAGTTACTCTCTAGGCATGCAGGCTTAAAGTATAATGGGAGATGGATGTGAGGGTTTAATCCTGCCATTTTTCAGATGACAAAGTTGCTCTCCATATGATCTGCTAGATGAATATTTTAAGAAAAATTCAAAGACATGGGAGCATCTGCATTTGTAAGTTTCACTAAGCTGCCTAAAATAATCCCAGTTCGCCTGGGACGGTCCTGACTTCCACTCTTATCTCTGTATAATTATTAAGAGCATACCCTTTCACTCTCAGAAGCATCTGGACTTGGATAACAAATTGTATGATCACTGGATAAAAAGAGCAGAAGTAGGCGGGGCGCGGTGGCTCAAGCCTGTAATCCCAGCACTTTGGGAGGCCGAGGCGGGCGGATCACGAGGTCAGGAGATCGAGACCATCCTGGCTAACATGATGAAACCCCATCTACTAAAAATACAAAAAAACTAGCCGGGGCGAGGTGGCGGGCGTTTGTGAGTTCCCAGCTACTCAGGAGGCTGAGGCAGAATGGCGTGAGACCCGGGAGGCGGAGCACAGTGAGCTGAGATCCGGCCATAAACTCCAGCCTGGCGGCAGAGCTGACTCTGTCTCAAAAAAAAAAAAAAAAAAAAAAAAAAAAAAAAAAAAAAAAAAAAAAAGCAGAAGTAGCTTTTCAGGTCCTCTGGCCCCCAATGTCTCCTAAATCCACTGACTTTCATCCCCTTTTGGACAGTCTCTGTATTTCACCCTCCTTAAGCCCACCTTTCTGGACAACCAATGTTCTCTCTTAAGGAGAACCAGTCTTCAAAAATGGGAAAGGCATTAACTGCAAGCTGCTTCTGATTTATACCTAGCCCCAAAATCCTAAAGCAAAGAAGCACAACCCCTACCTAGTTTTCTGCCTAAAATCAGTGAAAAGGGAAAAAAGGGGGATAGGAATTACCTAGGTATAAGGAACAAATATTAGTACGTTGTTGTACATCACTGTATGTGGGAATAGTAAATTGGTTGGCAGTACTTGACAAACTTGGACATATGCATACATTTTGACCCAGTGGCCTACCACTAAGTGTATACTGAATAAAAATAAGTATGCATGTTTACCTAAAGACATGTCAAGATTTTGCACAGCAGCATCGTCCTTCATAGCCACAAACTGAAATCACCCCATCTGTCAGCCAACTGTAGACTGGAAAATAAATGGTAGGATGTTAATAAAATAAAATTCCACACAGCCATGAAAGATAATGACATAGATAAATGTCACAAACCAATAGGGAGTGAAAGGAGCCAAGCACAAAAGAGGGCATATTTTATGATTTCATTTATATACACTTTAGAAACAAGGAAGCTAATCTATGGTGCTAGAAGTCACACAGCACTTCCTCTTGGCTGGGCAGGCAGGGGCTAGTGACTGGAGAAGGATTTGAAGGGTGCTTTAGGGTTGTTGGCAATGTCTGGTTCTGACAGGGGTGCCGGTGACACAGATGTATGCAGTTAGCAAAAATTCATGGAGCTCTATCCTTATGTTATACTTAAATAAAAAGTTTATTTAAAACGTAAGTGGAGAACAAAAAATAAATCATCCTACCAAATTAGTTTAAGACAAAAATTACTCAAAAGCTTTGAGCTATAATTCCCCCATTTGTAAAATGGATATTTACTGCCCTGGCAACTCAGCATAGTAGAACGTGCAAGAAAAATAACACCGTTTATGTTTCTTTTCCATCTTATGGCACTTAAAATTTAAAAAAAAAACAACAACAAAAAAAACACATTTTTTAGTATAAAAGGAGGAAATCAAGAGAAAAGAGAATTAATGCATATGGAGCAACTACAGAGTGCCTGGCCTTATGCTGGATGTTTTCTGATGTAATATGTTGTTTATAACAACTATACAATGTGTATGTGTGTGGCAGATTGCATTTCCCGAGTATGACTATACCAGTGAACACACACATACACAGTCACACATGTATATACCTTGCATCCCACATGCTCTTGATATAATAAGACTGAAACTCCTCCAATCAAAAAGATGAGGCCTATATGCCCTAATTTTGCCTCTAGGCAGGGACTTGGGATTTTTCCAATCAATAGGGTATGGTGGAAGTGATGCTATGTGACTTTCAAGGTTAGGTCATAAAAGGGTAGAGCCTCCACCAGGCATGCATTCTCTCTCTCTCTATTCTCTCTCTCTCTCTCTCTCTCTTCCTCCCCCACCCCCATCCCCCGCTCCCCGTACTCCACATTGATCTCTCTTTTGACATCCCTTAACCTTCAGGAAAGTCATATCAAAACCCTCTGGCCTTGTCACAAGATAAAATTACATAATTACATGCCATAGGAACTTAACTCTTGTTTATGTCACTTACCCTGTAGGAAAATTGCTCTCATTATACAGTACATTATTTCATTTAAAGTTGTGATTTCCAAGCACCTACCAAAAATGTTGAGCGTGGACTTACTGTACACTATAAGGTAGCAAGTGGGTGGTCATTTGTCCAGTGTTGAGGAGCAGGAGCCCCTTAGGACCGACATGCCAGTGAGTGGACACTTGGAAAAACACTCAAGGGAAATAGCCAGGGGACTCACCAGGACAGGTATGGATCACTTGGCCCAATTCTCCCGCACTACCAAGAAAGTCTCCTTCCGGTTCCATATTTGAATAATGTTTATGAGGTTTACGAAGAAAACAAGCATTGCTTTTTAGTACACATAATTCCTTACCCATTGCATTTTCCCACCCTGAATGGCAGTTTATTAGATATGCAGCAATGGTCTAACAATGGAAGAGAGAATCATTAGAGTAGACATCAATTTATTAATCATCCAACAAATATTTATTAAAGCTAGTTATTTCCAGCAATATTGCAAATGCTATTGTATTAGTCAGGGTTCTCTAGTGGGACAGAACTAATGGGATATATATAGAGAGAGGCATTTATTAAGTATTAATTCACATGATCACAAGGTCCCACTATAGGCTGTCTGCAGGCAGAGGAGCAAGGAGAGCCAGTCTGAGTTCCAAAACTGAAAAACTTGGAGTCCAATGTTAGAGGGAAGGAAGCATCCAGCACTGGAGAAAGGTGTAGGCTGGGAGACTAGGCCAGTCTCTCTTCTACATTGTTTTGCCTGCTTATATTCTGATCTCGATGGCAGCTGATTAGACTGTGCCCATCCCAGATTAAGGGTGGGTCTGCCTTTCCCAGCCCACTGACTCAAACGATAATCTCCTTTGGCAACACCCTCACAGACACACCCAGGATCAATACTTGGTATCCTTCAATCTAATCAAGTTAACACTCAGTATTAACCATCACAGTTATATTCAGAAAAAGTTCTCAGGATAAAAAAAAAACAAGAATTCTGGACAAAATATTAAAAACATCTATTTGTTCACATTTGAGCTGCCAAAAACTAAGTAAAAATCTGTGGGAGCAAAAGAGAAGTAACAAAGTAAGACTTCAGAGGGATGCACAAACCCCAGAGCTAGAGTTTGTCTTTGGGGAACTAGCGGATTCCTGGGGAGCAGAGTTGGGGTTTAATGAGTTAGCTATGCAGGAGATAAAAAGATAAAGCCTGGAACCTTAAGCAGGTTGGAAGTTTGGAACCATGACTGACTCATAATACTGACTTCCCAGAAAAAAAAAAAAAAAAAAAAAAAAAAAAAAAAAATTCTCAGTGGCTAACTTGGAGAAAAAATGCCCACAGCAGGAGCCAGCCTAGAAATATAACTGACTTGGCGTTGGCTCTAGAATGGCAGAAAAACAGACAAAATAACCTCTGACAATTTCTAATCACCTCTGTGTTTCAAGTAAAAAATGCATATTACAAATATAACAATAACAAAAAGTTCTTTCTGGAGAATACCACTTAAATCCAGATATGAAATAATTTCCCCAGATAAATATCCAAGGATCATGAGCTTGTGGAATTACTAAACAAACACAGAATAATCCACCATCAATGAGACTCAC